GAGTATCCTAATATGAAAATCCAAAATACTCCAAAATCCAAAACTTCTTGAGCACTGACATGACATTCAAAGGAAATGCTCATTAAAGCATTTCAGACTTCAGATTTTCATATGTATTTTGAAAAGTCCAACTAGTAAGTAAAATTCAAATATTCCATAATCAGAAAAAAAATCCAAAATCTGAAATATTTCTGGTCCCAAGCATTCTGGATAAGGGATCCTCAACCTGCAATATGTATAACAGTAATAGAACAAAATGGAGGAAAAAGGAATAGAACTATGTAAGAGTAACAGTTCCACATATCATCATTAAGTTGGTATAAACCTGAAGTAGATTCTGGTAAGTTAGATGCATGCAGTAACCACCAATAATTCACAAAATGCAGGGATGAAAATCACAAAAAATTTTTTTGAATGTTTTATTAGATAATATACACTAAACGCAAGAGGAAACAGTAAAGAAGGAATAGAGAAACAAAAAGGTATAAGTCATATAGAAAAAAGTAAAATGTCAGATATAAATCCAACTACACTCATGTGACACATAATAATGTTTTGGTCAATGATGGACCAGCACAAATAATGATGGGCCCATAAGATTATAATATCATATTTTCACTGCACCTTTTCTATGTTTAGATATGTTTATATACACAAATACTTATCATTGTATTACTATTGCCTACGTATTCAGTACAGTAACATGCTGTACAGGTTTATAGCCTAGGCACAATAGGCTATTCCATATAGCCTAGGTGTTAGGAGATTATATCATCTGGGTTTCCAGAAGTACACTCTATGATGTTCACACACAAAAAAATTGCCTAATGGCACATTTCTCAGAATATATTTTCATCATTAAGAAACACATGACTGTATATCAATAATAATATTAAATGTAAACTGATAAAGCAATTTAATCACAGAAAGTGAAAAACTAAGTAAATAAACAAGGTCCAACTATATGCTGTCTATAAGGGACACACTTTAGTTTCAAAGTAAAATAGATTGAAACTAAAAGGATAAAAAAATGTATCATGCAAAGAGCAACATAAGAAAGCTGAAGTGGTTATGATAATATCAGAGAAAACAGACTTTTAAAAGATGTTACTAGACATAAAGAAGGACATTTTACAAGGGTCAAGGGTCAATCCATCAGAAATGCATAAGAATATATGTATATATGAACTCAGTAACAAATCACTAAGTAAATGAACCAAAAACTGACAGAAATGAAGGGAAAATGATAAAATTCAATGCTAATATTCAGACTTCAATACCTCACTTACAATAATGTTACCACAATAAGGCAAAAGATAACAGGTAAACAGAAGTTTTAAACAACATTATAAACCAATCAGGCCTAGCAGATATCTATAGATCACTTCATCAAACAAAGTAGAATACACATTTTTTTCAAGTGCACATGAAACATTCTCTAGAATAGACACGACACTGGACAATACAACAAAATCAAGAATTTTTTTAAAACTGTAAAAATATAAAGTATGTTTTCCAACCATAATAATGAGATTAAATTAGAAATGAATAACAGGAAAAAAAGGGAAAACTCACAAACATGTGGAAATAAAAAACATAGTCCAAAATAACCAACAGAACAAAGAAGAAATCAAAAGGAAAATTGGAAAATACTTTGAGATGACTTAAAATGAACATACAACATATCTAAACTTATGAGATGCCGCTAAAGCAGTGCTTAGAAGAAAATTAATACAGTATCTTTAAAAAGAAAAAAAATCTCAAATCAACAACCTAACTTCTGAAGACACTAAAAAAGAAAGGCAAACAAAATCTAAAGCAAGCAAAAGGAAGAAGAAATAAAAATATAAAGATTAGAGCAGAAATTATAATAATAAAGAAATAGAAATATCAATGAAAAATAGAAAATATCAATGAAACTAAGAGTTGATTTCTGAAAACATAAACAAAACTGAGAAAACTTTAGCCAAACTAAGAAAAAATGAAGTCTCAAATAAATACATTTATAAATGAAAGAAGAGACGCAAGAAATACAAAGGATCATAAGCGACTACTATGAACAATTATATGCCAACAAATTGGATAACGTAGAAGAAACGGACAATTCCTAGAAATATACAACCTACAAAGACCGAATCACGAAAAAAAATTTTTTTAAGTCTAAAGAGACCAAAGCAAGTAAGGAGATTAAATCAGTAATAAAAATAAATCTGGCCAGGTGCAGTGGCTCATGCCTGTAATCCCAGCACTTTGGGAGGCTAAGGCAGGTGGATCGCTTGAGCTCAGGAGTTCAAGACAAGCCTGGACAACATGCCCATCTCTACCAAAAATACAAAAATTAGCTGAGCATAGTGGCGTGCACTTGTAGTCCCAGCTGCTTGGGAGGCTGAGGTAGGGGAATGCTTTGTGCCTGAGAGACGGAGATTGCAGTGAGCCTCGATGGCACCACAGCACTCCAGCCTGGGGGACACAACCAGACCTTGTCTCAAAGATTAAATAAATAAATAGTGTATTCCTGATAGTTAAGATTGGTTGTTTTTTTTAAAAAAATCTCACATCCAAAAAAAAAAAGACCAGATGGCTTCATGGGTGAATTCTACTAAGCATTTAAAGAATTACCACCAATCCTCAAATTCTTCCAAAAAATTGAAAAGAGGGGAAGACTTCCAAATTCATTTTTAGAGGTCAGCATTATCATGATACCAGAGCAAGACAATGTTTTCTACACATTTGCTACAAGGAAACTACATGGCAATATTCTTGCTAAATACAAATTCAAAAATTTGCAAAAAACAATACTAGCAAACAAAACTGGATAACATGTTAAAAGGATCATATACTATAATCAAGTAGGATTTATCCCTGAGATGCAAGGATGGTTCAACATATACACATCAATCCATATGAAAGGCCACATTAACAGAATGAAGGATAAAAATCAAATGATAATCTCAACACATGTAGAAAATGCATTCAACAAACTTCAACATCCTTTCATAATAAACATAAAAAACTCTAAAGAAACACGTATAGAAAGTATGTACCTCAACACAATAAAGAATATATATGACAAGCCCACAGTTAACATCATACTCAGTGGTGAAAAGCTCCAACAAAAAAAGGTTAGAACTAAAAAATTCACTAAATTTTAGGATACAAAATCAACAACATACAAAGATCAGTAATGTTTCTACACACTGGCAGAACTGAAATCAATAAAATCAATAAAACAATCCCATTTATAATAGCATAAGAAAAAAGATGATATCTGTTCACTGAAAACTATAAAACACTGATAAAAGAAATTGAAGAAGACACAAATAAAAGGAAAGATATTCCATGTTTACAGATCAGAAGAATTGATATTGTTAATGTTCATACTACCCAAAGCAATCTACAGATTCAATGTAATCCCTATCAAAATTCCAAGAGCATTTTTATAGAAATAGAAAAAAAATCCTAAAATTCATATGGAACCACAATACACCCTTTAGACAAAGCAAGCTTGAGCAAAAAGAACAAAGTTGGCGGCATCACACTACCTGATTTCAAAATACACTACAAAACAATAGTAATCAAAACAGAATGGTAATGCCATAAAAAGCAGACATAGAGACCAATGGAACAGAATAGAGAGCTGAAAAATAAATCCATTCATTTACAGTCAATTGACCTTTGACAAAGGTGCCAAGAACATGCAGTGGAGAAAGGACGATCTCTGCAAATGATACTGGGAACACTGCCTGTGGAGAAGAATGAGATTGGACCCTTATTTCACCATATACAAAATCAACTCATAATGGATTAAAGACTTAAATGTAAGACCTGAAATGGTAAAACTGCTAGAAGAAAATGGAGAGGAAATGCTTCTTGACATTGACCAGCATAGTGATTGTTTTGGATATAACTCCAAAAGCATAGGCTTCAAAAGAGAAAATAGAGAAATGGGGTTGGATCAACGTAAAAAGCTTCTGCACAACAAAGAAAAGTGTGAAGAGAAAATCTACAAAATGGGAAAAAAATTTGTAAACCAAATGGCTGATAAGGGCTTAATATTCAAAATATACAAGGAACTCAGTAGGAAGAAAACAAATAACCCAATTTAAAAATGGGCAAAGAGCCTGAATAAACATTTCTCAAAAGAAGTCATTTTTTCACAACTGGCCAACAGGTATGTGAAAAAACACTCGACATTGATAGTCATTAGGGCAACATTGCTAATTATTAGAGAAATGCAAAGAAAATCACCTCATACCTATTGGAATGGCTACTACCAGAAAGATGAAAGATAAATGTTGGTGAGGATATGGAGAAAAGGAACCCCTTGTACACCATTGATGGGAATGTAAATTAGTTTAGCCATTATGGGACACAGCACAAAAGTGTCTTTAAAAATTAAAAACAGAACTACTATATAACCCAGCAATCCCACTTCTGGATATACATCCAAAGGAAATGAAGTCAGTATGTCAAAGAGATACCTGTGTTCCCATGTGCACTGCATTATTTACAATAGCCAAGATATGGAATCAACCTAAGTGTCCATCAGTGGCGAATGGATAGCAAACTTGTGGAATATAGATACACAATGAAATACTATTCAGCCTTAAAAATACAGAAATCCTGACATTTGTGAACACATGGATGACCCTAGAGGTTCATTATGCTAAGTGAGATAAGCCAGGCACAGTAAGACAAACACTGATCTCACTTACACGTGGAATGTAAAGCAGTTGAACTCATAGAAGCAGAAGGTAGAATGGTGGTTACCTGGAGCTGATAGGGCAGGATGAGGTGAGAGAAAGTTTCGGTTAGACAGAAAGAATAAGTTTCGGGGACAATAGTTAACAACAATGTACCGTATGTTTGAAAATTACTAAGAGGATAGATCTTAAATGTTCTCACCACAAAAAAAAAAAAAAAAAAAGAGGCAAGCATATGAGGTGCTGGATATGTTAATTAGTTTGATTTAATCATTTCACAATTTATACATATATTAAAATATCACATTGTACACTGTAAATAAATACCATTTTTTATTTGGTAGATTATACCTTAATAAAACTGGTGGGGGAATAAAGCCAGGCAGAGTTCCTACTGCCAGAGAGAGAGAGAGAGAGAGAGAGAAAGAAATTAATGAAACAACCAGGCAGAGTAGCTCACACCTGTAATCCCAACACTTTGGAAGGCTGAGGTGGGAAGATCACTTGAGTCCAGGAGGTCAAGGCTGCAGTGAGCTGTGACCGCACCACTGCATTCCAGCCTGGGAAACAGAGCAAGACACTGTATCCAATTAACAAAAAAAAAGAAAGAAAAGAAAGTACTGAAATAAAGAAAATAACAATAGTCGGCCAGGTGCGGTGGATCACGCCTGTAATCCCAGCACTTTGGGAGGCCGAGGAAGGCGAATTACGAGGTCAGAATATCGAGACCATCCTGGCTAATACGGTGAAACCCCGTCTCTACTAAAAATACGAAAAAATTAGCCAGGCATGGCGGTGGGCACCTGTAGTCCCAGCTACTTCAGAGGCTGAGGCAGGAGAATGGCGTGAACCTGGGAGGCGGAGCTTGCAGTGAGCTGAGATCAGGCCACTGCACTCCAGCCTAGGTGACAGAGCAAGACTTTGTCTCAAAAAAAAAGGAAATAACAATAGTCAACACAACCAAGTAACCAAGTTAGTTTCTGAAAAGATGAACTAAATTGACAAGTTTGTAGCTAGATTGATCTAGAAAAAAACACGCAATAGAATCAGAAATGAAATAATGTAGTAATGCAATCCTTACACACTGCATTAGTAGTAATGTGACCTTACTGAAGTAAAAAAGATTATAAAAATATACTATAAACAACTGTATGCCAATAAATTAAATATCTTGGATGAAATGAACAAATTCCTAGAAAGCACAAACTAGCAAAACTGTCTCATGAAAAATAGACTATCTGTATAGATCTATAACAACAAAGAAATTGATTAGTAAATTTAACACTGCCCATAAAGAAGTAATTTTAAAACTTCCCATAAAACTTCTCTATAAGATGGCTTTAGTGGTAAATTTTACCAAATGTTTAAAGAAGAATCAATGCCAATTCCATACACACTGTTTTGAAAAACGGAAGAGGAGGAAACATTTTCTAACTCATTCTATGAGGCCAGTCTCACTCTGATATTAAAAACAGACAACACATTACAAGAAATGAAAATTACAGACACTCCTAGAAATACAAAAAATCCTTCACAAAAAAACTAGAAAACCAAATCTAGCAACACAAAAAATAATTATATACCATGACCAAGTGAAATTTATCAAAAAATGCAAAGTTGGCTTAGCATATGAAAGTCAATTAATATAATACACCATATCTATAAAATAAAGAAAAACTATATGATCATCTCAATAGATACACAAAAAGCATTTGACAAAATCCAAGACCCTTTTTGATAAATACACTCTCCAAAGTAGGAATAGAAGGAAATTTCTTCAATATCATAAAGGGTATCTATAAAAAACCAACAGCTAACATCATACTTGATGGTAAAAGACGAAATGCTTTCCCCCTAAAATCAGCAACAAGGATGCCCTTTCTGGCCCCTTCTATTCAACAGTGTACTAGAAGTTCTAGTCAGGGTAATTAGGCAAGAAAATAAAATAAAAGGCATCCAGATTGGAAAGGAAAAAGTAAAAACTATCTCTATTCACAGATGACATGATCTTAGATACAGAAAATCCTCCAACCCAGGTGACAGATATAGAAAATCCTAAGGCATTCGCTAAAAACTTTTAGACTTAATAAATAAGTTCAGCAAGGTTGCAGGATACAAGATCGATATACAAAAATCATTGTATTTTTATACACTTGCAATGGAGAATCTGAAAATAAAAATAAAACAATTCCATTTACAGATGCATTCTAAATAATAAAATACTTAAGAATAAAATTAACACAATAAGACCTAACTTATACTCTGAAAACAACAAAATATTGTTGAAAGAAATTAAAGATCTAAAAAATGAAACCACACCTCATGGTCATGGGTCAGAAGACTTAATATTGTTAAGATAGCTATATTCCCCAAATTGATCTACCAGCTCAGCATGGTCTCTATCAGAATCACAGGTGGTTTCCTTGTAGAAATTGACAAGCTGAAACTAAAATTTATATGAATATTCAAAAGACTCAGAATAGCCAAAGAATCTTGAAAAAATGAAAACAAAGCAGGAAGACTTTCACTTTTCTGTTTCAAAACCTACTACAAAGCAATAGTAATTATGCCAGTGTGGTACTGACATAAGGACAGACATATAGAACAATGAAATAGAATTAAGAGTCTAGAAGAAGCCCATGTGTCTATGATCTATTGATTTTTGATAGAGGCGCCAAAACCATTCAAACTCGGGAGTGGGGTGGGGTGGTGCAGGGAGAAATAGTCTTTTCAACAAATGTTACTAAGATAACTGGATAGACATATGCAAAAGAATGAATTTGGACCCTTACTTCACACCATGTGAAAAAAAATGAACTAAAAATGCATCAAAGACTGAAATGGAGGGTTTGGTGGTGATAAAAGGTACAGTGATTCTTTTCGAAGTGATGAAAATGTTCTAAAATTGATTGTGGTGATCACTGCACAACCCTACAAACATCTAAACACTATTAAATTATATACTTTAAGTGGATAAACTATATGGCATGTTAATTATTCTCAATATAGCTATCACAAAAATAGCAATACAAAAAATATGTAGAATACAGCTAAAGCACTGTGTAGGGGAAAATACATACCTTAAATGTTTGGAAAAGAAGAATGGGCTAAAACCAATGACCTATAAGCACCTACATTAAAATAGGAAGAGAAAATTAAACACATTATTTAGAAGGAAAGAAATAATAAAGAGAAGAAATCAATGAAATAGAAAACTAGTTCATTAATAGAGAAAAATCAATGAAATTAATATTCCTTCTTTGGAAAGATAAACATAAATGATAAACTTCTGGCTAGACTGATGAAGACAATAGAGAAATGCTACAAATTACCAATAACAGGAATGCAAAAAGGAATGTAACTACAAAGTAAGAATAAATTTGCCTACAAATTTGACAACTTAGATGAAATAGGCAAATCCTAGCAAAACACAAATTACTAAAATGACTTAAGATATAAGAAATCCTCTTGGGCGAGGTGGCTCGCACCTGTACTCCCAGCACTTTGGGAGCCTGAGGCGGGCGAATCATGAGGTCAGGAGTTCGAGACCAGTGTGGCCAACATGGTGAAACCCTGTCTCTACTAAAAATACAAAAAAATTGCTGGGCATAGTGGAGGGCGCCTATAATCCCAGCTACTCGGGAGGCTGAGGCAGGAGAATTGCTTGAACCCAGGAGATGGAGATTGCAGTGAGCTGAGAGCACACCAGTGCACTCTAGGCTGGGTGACAGAGTGAGACCCCATCTCAAAAAACCAAAATATATATATATGCAATCTAATAATGTATTTTTGAAAATACATCATGACTTGGTACCACAAGTGCAGCCTGGGTGACACAGCTAGAACCTGTCTCAACAAAAATCAAAACCACCATGACCTACTATCCAGGAATATATTTTTTAAAGCAATGTATTAACCAGTTTAACAAACTAAAAAATAAAAGTGATATGACCATCTCAATAGCTTTAGAAAAAGCATTTGATAAAATTTTATACCCATTCATGATACAAACTCTAAGTAAACTTGCGCCAGGCATGATGGCTCATGCCTGTAATCCCAGCACTTTGGGAGGCCAAAGTGGGCAGATCACCTGAGGTCAGGAGTTTGAGACCAGCCTGGCCAACATGTCGAAACCCTGTCTCTATTAAAAATACAAAAAAAAAAAAAAATTAGCCATGCACGGTGGTGGGCGCCTGTAATCCCAGCTACTCAGGAGGCTGAGACAGGAGAATTACCTGAACCTGGGAGGTGGAGGTTGCAGTAAGCCAAGATTGTGCCACTGCATTCCAGCCTGGGCGACAGAACAAGACTCAGTCTTGGTGGAAACACACACACACATACACACACACACACACACACACCCCACACAGACACAACTTTAAGGAAACTTGCAAGAAAAGGGAATGTTTTCAACTTGACAAAATGCTTCTACAAGCCTGGCCAACACGATGAAACCCCGTTTCTACAAAAAATGCAAAAATTAGCTAGGCATGGTGGCACACCCCTGTATTCCCACCTACCAGGAGGCTGAGGTGGGAGAATCCCTTGATCCCGGGAGGCAGAGGCTGCAGTGAGCCGAGATCACGCCACTGCACCCCAGCTTGGGCAACAGAGCGAGACTCCATATCAAAAAAAGTAAAAAAAAAAAGCTTCTACAAAAAACCTGCAGCTAATATCATATTCAAAGATGAAACACTGAGTCCTATTCCCTTATGGCTATATATGAGGCAAAAAAATATCCACTCTCACCACTTTTATTCAATCCTGATGTCTGAAGTACTAGGCAGAAGAAAAGGGCATTCTGAGAAGAGTAAAAGAGAAGCAGTAAAACTATCTTTATATATTTAGGTCATAATTGCATATGTAGAAAATCCTTTTAAAATCTACAAAAACCTACTAGGATTAAAACATTGAATTTAAGCAATGTTACAGAATAAAAGGTCACAAAATTCTATTCTACTTTTGTGTATAGGCTATCAAAACCTGGAACAAAAAATTCAAGAATAAAATATCATTTTTACAACGGCATTGTAAAAACTCATGAGATATTCTATAAGAGCCATAAAAAAACTCATGAGATAATATGGGATACATTTAACAAAATATATTTAATAGCTGTACACTGAAAAGTACAAAACATTGTTCAGAGAAATAAAAGACCTGTACCTAAATAAATAAATGAGTGGATACACTATGTTTATGGATTGGAAGACTCAATATTGTTAAAATCTCAACTCTTCCCAGACTGATCTGTATATTCAAAATAATGCTAATCAAACCCCAAGTAGGGTTTTTTTCTGTAGAAAATGATATGATCATTCTAAATGTATGTGGAAATGCAGAGGAACCATAGTAGCCAAACGTTTGGGGAAAAGAACACATTTGGAGGACTTAACTAACTCATTCAAGATCTACCATAAAGATATATTAATCAAGTCACTGGGTTACTGGCTAAGGATAGATGTATACCCAGAAGAGAGGACAGAAACAGATCCACACATATATGATCATTTGATTTTTTTGAAAATTTTGTAGACAATTCAATGATGAAATAAGTCTTTTCAATAAGTGGTGCTGGATGACTTCGTATCTGTATGGGAAAAAATGAACCTTGACCCTTCCCTTACATCATACACAAGTATTAATTCGATTGTAGCACAGATCTAAACATAAAATCTAAAAATATAAAATTTCTAAAAAAAGTCTATGCACCTTGGTGCATGCAAAGATTTATCAGGATACAGAAGTACAAAGTATAAAAAGAAAATTGGTAAACTGGACTTCATCAAAAACAGAAGTAAAACTTCTGTTCTTAGAATGATTTTATTAAGAAAACAGAAAGGCAAACCAACGACTGGGAGAAAATATCCAAAATTTAAAATGTTCAAAAAATAACTACAACTTAATAACAAGAAGATAAACATGCCAATAAAAAGATAGGCAATAGATCTGAACAGCTATCTCACAAAAGAAGATAGATTCATGACCGATAAGCATGTGAAAAGCTATTCAACATCATTTGTCATGAGGAAAAGGCAAACTAAAATACTAATGTGACAACCTTATTCATCTATTAACAATACCAAGTGTGGGAGAAGAAGATTTAGAGCAACTCGAACCATCACACAGTGCAAGTGGGAGTGTACAGTGATGCAACCACTTTGGTTTCTTGTTTGTTTTTTGTCTCCATCTCCTCCAGCATTTATCCTTTGTGTTACAAATAATACAATTATACTTTTAGTTATTTTTAAATGTACAATAAATTACTATTGACTATAGTCACCCTGTTGTACTATCAAATACTAGATATTATTTATTCAATTTGTCAGGTTTTTACAAAGTTAAGCATACTTACCATATAATCCAGCAATTCCACTCCTAGTTATTTATCCAAGAAAAATGAAAACTTACATGCGCACATAGACTTGAACACAATGCTCACAGATACTATATTCCTCATGGCCAAAAACTAGAAACAACCTGTTATGGACAAAACTGCGTCCCCTCCAAATTCATACGTTGAACCCTAATCCCCCAGGGTGACTCTATTTGGAGACAGGGCCTTTAAAGAGGTAATTAAGGTTAAATAAATGGGGTTATAAGGACAGGATCCTAACCCAACATGACTGCTGTCCTTATAAGAATAAGGAGAGACACCGAAGATGTGCATGCACAGAAGAAAGGCCATGCAAGAATGTAGCAAGAAGGCAGACATTTGCAGACCAAGGAGAGAGGCTCCAGAAGAAACCAAACCTTCCGGCACTGTTATCTTAGACTTCCAGTCTCCAGAACTGTGAGAAAATCATTCAGAGAGAAATAAACAAATCCACAATTACAGAAGATCTTAACATGTCTTTCAGTAATTTAGAGATCAAGAATACAAATACAGTAAGGATTTATAAGATTTGATTGACACTATTAACAAGCCTAATCTAATATGGAAATATATATAACACATATATATGCATCCACCAAGAAGTGAGCACAGATGCTTTTCAAGGTCATATAGAATATTATCAAATATTGATAACATAATCTGCCACTAAGCAATTCTTAGCAGATAGCAAAGAATTATCACAAGCCATTTTATCTGATCACAATATTGGAAACATTAGACAATAAGATATTAGACACAAGAAAGTAAAAATAGACGGATAACCTCAAGTCCCCTGTACACTGGAAGGTTTTTTAAAACTTCAGGCCAAGTATGCTGGCTCATGCCTCTAAACCCAGCACTTTGGGAGGTTGAGGTGGGAGGATCGCTTGAGGCCAGGAGATCAAGACCAACCTGGGCAATACAGTAAGACTCCATTGCTACAAAAAAATTAAAAATTAGCTGGGTGTGGTGGCTCACACTTGCAGTGTTAGCCACTTGGAGGCTGAGACAGGTGGATCACTTGTGCCCAGGGGCTGGAGGCTGCGGTGAGCTATGATCGTACCACTGCACTCCAGCCTGGGAACAGAGTGAGACTCTGTCTCAAATAAACAAACTTTAGTAATTAAAAATAAATCATAACGAAACTAGATGATATTAAAAACAAAATGGCAATGAAAGCATTACCTCAAAACTTGTGGGCTGCAGGTGGCTGCACCCAAAAAAATATAGAGAAATTTCCAGTATTCAATGTACACAAAAGAAGAAAGATAAAAAATCACGAAATATGATTCATTGATTCTAAAATTCATTTGAGACAGTTTAATAAGGACCAAGTACAGTCAAAATAATTTGAGGGAACATTAATTCTCCCAGATATCAAGACTCAATATAAAATTATAGTAGCTACAAGAGTGTATTATTGACAAAGGGATAAACAGACCAATGGGGCAGAATGTATGGGAACTTATTTTTATGACAAAGTAGACTTGACATATTTCAGAGAAGAAAGGATAATGGATATCTGTTCACAAAGATAAAAATTACATGTCTACTTCAAACTACACAAAACCAATCTCAAATAGGTTAAAGTCCTAAATGTAAATGTCAAAATTTCACATACTTCCAAACATTTACAAGAACTTTTTTGTTGTTTTTTTGAGACGGAGTCTCGCTCTGTGGCCCAGGCTGGAGTGCAGTGGCGCGATCTTGGCTCACTGCAAGCTCTGCCTCCCAGGTTCACGCCATTCTCCTGCCTCAGCCTCCCGAGTAGCTGGGACTACAGGCGCCGCCACCTCGCCCGGCTAATTTTTTGTATTTTTAGTAGAGACGGGGTTTCACCGTGTTAGCCAGGATGGTCTCGATCTCCTGACCTCGTGATCCGCCCACCTCGGCCTCTCAAAGTGCTGGGATTAGAGGCGTGAGCCACTGCGCCCGACCTAGAAGAACTTTTAAATGAAAATATAGGAAAGTATCTCTCTGGCCTTGGGACTATATAGGATTTCTTAAAGAAGACATAATATTATAAACTATATAGGAAAAGATTGATAATAATTCTGAGTATATCAGAACTTAACATGCCTGTTTATATTGCAAGGAAGGTGAAAAGACAAACCACAGACAAGGACAAGATAATTGTAATATCTTTAAAAGGATTATTATCAAGAATATATAGAGAATTCTGTTAAAAATCAATATGAAGGCAGAGCGTGGTGGCTCATGCCTGTGATCCCAGCACTTTGGGAGGCCGAGGTGGGTGGATCACGAGGTCAAGAAATCGAGACCATAGTGGCCAACATGGTGAACCCCCATCTTTACTAAACATACAAAAAAAAAAACCTAGCTGGGCAGGGTGATGCACACCTGTAGTCCCAGGTACTCGGGAGGCTGAGGCAGGAGAATCACTTGAACCCGGGAGGCGGAGCTTGCAGTAAGCCGAGATCGCCACCGCACTCCAGCCTGGTGACAGAGCGAGACTTCATCTCAAAAAAAAAAAAAAAAAAAAATCAATCAATCAATATGAAGAAGATAAGTTACCCAAAAAAGCTACCCAACAGAAAAATGGGCAAAGTTTACCAAAATTTCATTCCAAAGAAATTCAAGAAAACGTTCATAGAGGAAGAATCCTAAATGGCTAAGAAACATGAAAAGGTCTTCAATTTTACTTGTAATCAAGGAAGCACAAGACAAAAAGTATAGAAAAAAACTGTCAGACAGTATCAAGTATTGATTTGTATTTGAGAAAATAACTCATGATTTCTAGCGGCAGAATGACACTTTAGAGAGCAATCTGACAAAAACTTAGAGAAGAGTTGAAATTGCACATATCTTGGATCTATTCCAGGCATATCGCTTTTTAAAATTCACTTCCAGGCATAAATATAAGGAAACATGTAGTCAAGGAGAAATGTAAAAGGTTTCTTGCAGTGTTTTATCACAGAAAAAAGTGAAAAACAATTAAATTTCCTTCAATATGGGAATGAATTTTAAAAAGGAAATATTTATACAATGAATATATGCAACTGTTTGAGTAAAACAGTACACTATATATATCAAAGTAGATGTGTCAAAATTATAATATTGAGCAAAGAGGGCAAGTTGCAAATGATTATCTCCAACTATGTTTGTTATCACTTAAATAAAAACCAAAACATACAAAACAACATTATACATTATTTGTGGGTGTAAGATTATAGAAAAAGTATAAACATATGCAAAGGAGTTAGACACACTGATAGGACAGTTATGCACACCAGCAATTAGGAAGGTAGGAGGGAAAAGGATGAGATAAGTTTTATCTGTAATGTTTTATTTCTTTAAACAAGAAGACATTTGAAGCAAATACAGCAAAATGTTAGTATCCTTACATGTGGGAGCTGGGGATATGTTTATCTGTTTTGTTACCTTTTTTGCACTTTTTTTTTGTATGTTTGAAATAGTTTCTAATTTTAACAAATGCTAATGATTGTTCTGGATGTAGGGTAGTTAAAGAGATTGTAGAAGAATCAAAGTATAAGGAGAATGGTTAACATTCTTATATTGATTAGTGTTTGTTCATACATTTATTTTATGGAAGGCCAAACAAAACTCTCTTAAATATGATGCAGGATGTATTATAAGCATATTTTTCCAAACTTACTTGTTCAACCTCCCTGTTGAGGGAATCTACTTTTTCTTTTAATCTGTTACCCTCTGCCTCGGCAGTGATAAGTTCCAGTTTGAGGGTATTGTTATCTGCCTCTGATTGACGGGCTTTATTTTCCCAGTTTTCAGCATCTTCATTGGCTTTTCGAAGTTGTTCCATCATTTGCCGGTTCTCAGATTCCTGAAAAGCAAACTTTAGCTATTACTTTAAAACATTTAAAATATTCAACATATGATAAAATTAAACATTATTTTCCAAGTCATTGGGAATTCACTTGCCATGAGAAGCATTTATAACAGAACCCTGAGGAAATGCATCTATACTCTTAGTTTAGAAAACAGGTCATCCTGTAATTAACAAAGACAGTGCAATCAGGATATGCCCTGGCTCCTGAGTGACACTCAGTGAACACTAGTAAATAGTAAATTTAAGTCAGTTACTCTTTTCTTCAAGACCTGAATGAATTTGTTCTTATATTTCCTTTTGTTCAAAGTCCTCCACAGCCTGCTTTTCCCATATGTCTGCTTACTGACTACTTGCTGGTCTGGTTTCTGAGTCTCTAGCCTTTCGTATTGGTGTATTCCCTTGTTCCTGACCAATTTACTGGGCTGTGCTGGCTACAGAGCTTCTGAGTACTTGCATATTTTAAGTGTCAACTTCTGATAATTTCCTGTCTGGTGCCTGCCTTTTATTCATAGCCCCAGCCTTAATTATCTTGATCATGAACTGTTCTACGATTATCTTTTACCTGCTAGTCTAGTAACTTTCCCTGCCAGTCTAGTAACTTTCCTGAAATTGCTCAGAAGTAAACTATCAAACCTATGCCAATAAACAGTAGTTGTAAATATGCATTCATGTATAAATTGAGCATACAATAAGAACCAGAGTTTTTAAACTTTCAAAATTCTATCATGAGCAGAGTAATTGAAGTAGGGTCTGATTTCTAGTAGGGAAATAAGGAGGGGAAGAAATTCAGCTCCACAAACAACATAATTGACCAAGTAATCATTATTAGGCTATTTTTAAAAACATGTTATTATGGTATGGTGAATTCATTCTAAAAAATTAGTTGTAATTTTGGTAATTAATTATTTAAAAGATCTCTTTCTCTCCTGTTAATAGTGCACATCCCTATCGGAAATCCTGGGCTAAATAAAATGACCAAATTGCAATAAATAATGTCTCATTAATACTCCTTTCAAATCAGATACGCCATCTCTCGATTATGATTACTGGTGGAAATTCAGCTAATATTGCCACCTTGTGGCCTCTGATGTGAAAGGTCTTTGCCAAGTCTGTGTCAGTCAACGATATACGAAACTACCTTATTGGCTTTCAAGATTCAGATACTCTGAACGTGTCAGTAGGAACCTGATACGTGTTTTCCATGATTGTACTAACAATAATAGTTGTGGACAGAGTATGTACTTGGAGGGTGCTTGTACAATATACTTAAACGAATTTTATTCACATTGATTTTTACCCTCCTTTTGTGCAGTACTTACTGTCTATGTCATTCACTTAAAACTGCCTTGCAGCTTTGTGTTGTTAGGTGTGGATGTGAAGCCTCCCCAATAACACCTTGTATTTCTCTAAAATAGGAACCATTTTTATATTAAATTTAGTTCTGTGACCAGGTAGTACATTGCTCAAAGGGAAAAGGGATTCCATAGAATGTCTCTGCTGTCCTCCAACCACCCAGCGCTCCCTCCTTCTTGGCAAGCAGAAAGCATATTTTACCCTTTTTCGTATCCTCCCATAGAGGCCAGAGAACTGTTGAGCCTGAGAGGCAACACTATAAAGAAAATGAAACTGTTCTTTGGGATTCTCTATTGCCTGCTTTCAGGATCTCTTTACTTCAATATGGTGCCTCCCCTGTATCCACAGCTCCCTCTGGCCACCCACAAGTCTCACTGCAACACTCCAAAGGCCTCAGCTGGAATCCTTTGCATTTCTAGCCTAAATTATGGTTACAACCTCTTCTAACTGCTCTCTCCACTTCTAATTTTGTTACCCTTCTGGTTTATTCTTGACATTTCCAAAATAAACTTCCTAAAAGGTAATCCTTAAATAACTTGTATGTTTTAGTTCTAACAAAAGCTTCTGAAAATAGGGTTCAAAGGTCTTTCTTACCTCTCCTTTATCATCCACTTGTACACGCTACTCTACCTACAGGACCTACTTTTTCCCCTACACCTTTGCTCACGTTGTGCCCACTGCCTGGGAGTCA